AGATGCAGTCAATGGTACGGGAAGCAAAGCCAGAGAGGATGTGGGACCGCAGGGCAAGCTGATGCTCATTGAGGAATTCAGTCTTTGTGACAGGATGGGCTTGTTTATTTGATCCTCTGTGTTGCAAAAAAAGAAGAGGAAAAATCCCTACTAAGCACGGGTCTGCCACCGCTTTGTCAAACTGCCCCAGATCTGAAGTTTGGCTTTTGGCTTGCGCCCAGTCGCTGTCGCTGCTCTGGCTTTGCCTTTCATCGTCCTTCACTCGGCAGAGGAAATTGTGAACGTTTGAGGCTCCTTTTTCTCCCAAACCCACAGTTTCTCTCTGTGGCGGTGCGAATATCCCACTCCGAGCTCGTTCCCAAGTTTCAAAGTGTATTTTCCCCCAGGGGTCGTAGCAGTGTCTGTGTGCCCCAGTTCGCTCAGGGCCAATTTAGAAACCATCCTTTGATAGATCCAGGGTGTGAACAGGGCAGGAAAATCTCCCTCTGGTGCTCATTGACAGTGAGGTGGTGGTGTTACCCCAGGGGGATTTTGGCTTTGGAAGAGGGAGAAGTGATGAGCGAGTCTCTGCCTTTTTGATAATCCCGGCTGCAAGCAGGAGCCAGATGCTTTGTCCCCACTTGTAGCTCGCTCTGGTTAAGTATTATTATTTATATTATGGAGTAGCTATACATAGTGTTTTATGGCAGGAAAGATACATAAATCAGCAACCAGAAGACGAGGGCTTTGCTCTAAAGAGCTTATAAATCTAACAGCTTGAGCAGCACCGGTAATGGACACAGTAAGCAGGCAGTCAAGTTGCATGTAGACACGAGCTAAGATGGGTCCCCCCAAAACAGATGGCGGTTTAGGAGAGATTTGGAAGAGAAGCAACCTGCTCCATCCTCCAGACCAGATCCTGATGGAGAATTAGAGGGGTTGTGACCCACATAGCGTGTGTGGGTGGAGAGGAGAAAAGCAGCTCCCCGAGAGGGACTGGGCAGGGGCCGGCAGGGGCTCGTCGCAGGGCCGACTTTTGGGGGCCCTGGGGCCGAAGCGCCCGTTCTTGCCCTAAACGATTTCTTCCCCTCAGCGCTGAGAATCCTTATGAAAATAAGCAGCATCACATCTTCTTAAATAAACCAAGGCTCTGCCTTGTGCCAAGATACAGGAAAGCGTTAAAAGCCTTAAAAATGGAAGAAAACCGCGGGCGCGGGTACACCCTGCTCCCTGCCCGCGCAGCAAGGCCAGCGTCCCTGCGGCGGGGGCAGAGCAGAGCTCCGACCCTTCGAACCTTCCCCCCCCATCATCCTGGGTATAAAACCAGCTTTTTTTTTTTTAAATTTATGTCTTCCTGCACTGGCACCAGCCCGGGAGGGACCCGGTCTGCGTCTGGCCAAGGACGCCGGCTCCGGGCGTCTGTGTTCTCCCGGCCGCTTGCAGCTCTCGCACAAATTGAGGCTTCACGCTAAATGCATTACGCTGTATAACAATTAATCCCGCACTACATATAGAAAGTCCTTACTCATCAATAATGCATGCGGGAGGAGTGATTTTCACTCTCGGTAATAAGGCTAAGACAATGGAAACAAGCAGGTAATGGAGAACATTTATAACGATGTTAATCTAATAATGAGTCTAATGCTGCTAAAAGTAAGACTGCGAACTGGACGCATCCAAAGATAAATTATTTCAAGCATTCATTAACCGCTGCCTAATTAATGCCCAATTAGAGAGATGCTACATGGGAAATGGCTTGGACAGTCGGATGAATTCATTCCAATCATCGAACCCTCAGTCAAAAGCAGGCGGCGGCAGAAGGACACGGCGAGCGTAGCCGGGGTGACACAGCGCATCGGTGGGAGAAAGCCAGGAGATGAACACCCGCTCGCTGGCTTTATCCGTGTCAGCAGGGCTTTGGGTTTATTCACTTCCCTGTCAGGTTTCTGTAGGATTTTTTTCCATTCCGCTTTTGAAGCTCTCCCTCCCTGGCGAGCTCAGACACGCGCGCTGGTGACCCTTCATCTGCCTCCTGACCTTTACAAGATGAAGCCGAAAGGGCTGCGTTGAATAAGGAGTTCAGAAAGTTCAGCAG